AACAAACTGCATACAATTTATTTAAAAATAAATTATGTCATAACTTTTAATTTGTCTCACAAAAATTATTTTTTGTAGAATTTTTAATTCATTTTTTAATTCAGAACCATTTTTAAGTATAAAATTTTTAAAAAAACCAGTAACGGTCAAAATGACCGCTTTGGGCGTTCTAGGTCATGAAAATTTCCAGACGTTCTAGTGTTAAAATCGGAAAAAAATTCACTTTTTATTGTTTTTAATGATTAGATTTATGCTCACATATTTGGATAGGCATATCTTTTTTTATCAACTCATACATATTTTATCTCTAATCATTTTATTTTTAAACCACATCCTAGTCATGAATGCTTATAAAGTCTTATCACATTCTTGTAAGATTTTTGCAAGTTGCTTATGAGAAACTTGCATGAACACTAATTTATAAATACATTGCGATAAGATGTATGTCATATTTTATGCTATCCAATTTAGAACAAGAGAACAAAAAAATACGTTTCTACTTTTTCTTTTTGTATCATTAAACGAACTATTATTCCTTCGACTTGAAAATCGTCTTAAAACTAATTAATTGTTACGCTGGAAAATGTATATATGACAACAGGCTTGACTAAAATTTTTCCAGTCAAAATTCAAATTTAAATTTGGTTTGTCGGAATCTAAAATTTGAATTTTGACTTAAAAAGAATTCTTCAGTTGTAGTAGTAGTAGTAATACCCGCTATCTTTCGGTTTAGGGTGAGACAGGCAAGTCTTCAGTTGAAATCGAAATTCAAGTTTCGATGAAAGTAAAACGAGAATATACTTGAAATTTAGGATTTAGGGTTTTTTACGTTTAAGAGCGGCTGGATGAGGTATTATGAATTGTTTGGGATTTCTAATAATTTCAAATATTTATCAGAGTTCATGTGGCTTTTTAGATGTTGCTAAGACTTTCTGCCGCTCACAAGAGTTTATGAGTTTCCCAGCAGCTTTCACAGTAATTTATAGAAGGACTATATATCTACAGGTTTTTGCGTTTTAAATATCTCATGGAATTTTTGTCGAATCTTTGATGCTTTACACGAACAAATTTCTTTCGTTCTGTAATGATCGCAACGAAAATGACGCCGCTGGAGTGGCTTAAAGGTCAAGTGTGTGTAAGAGAACTGTATATATTCTTCATGTGCTGTCCCGAGGAAAACTTCGACGGTTCGATGATCCATCCTCAAAAAAATCGAGGTCGAAGTTAACACAGCTTAGTAATGCTTTTCTCAAACGTTTTTCTACCTGCTGGTTTCAGTGCTCAGATAGCTGCGCGATGACTTCGAAACTCCAAAAACTATTAAAAAAACTCACTAGTGCTCCAGAAACTTCTATGGAATGGAATGCCCATATACCCATACAATAGGTTGGAAACCGAAAACCCCTGTGAAATCCTAAATTTTATTTATGTTATCGTCTTAATTCATCAAAATTTAAATTTCGATTTCGAAAGAACAGGTTTTTAATCAAATTTAAATTTGAATTTCGACTTTACAAAATGGTGCTATATTCATGAAAGAAAGTTGTTAAGTAAATAAATGTGATCAATAACAATTTATCTGCAGTTAAATGCAGCTGATGCTTTAAAATTTTATGGATCCAACATCTTTTATGTGACTTTTTATGTGTTTTTCAACATTATAGTCATGTATGTTTTCATTAAAATGTAATTGGGGATAGTTGGGAAACTTTCCTCGTTTGTTGAAGACTCCAATCGAGAGTTGCAGGATCTTTGGAGGATTTTTAGAAAATGGATTGCTTTTACCATCATGCTTTCATGAGAATGATGTACTTGTATGGCTCAAGACTTCAGAATTTCCTTAAAGTGGCAACAGAACTTTTGGAATCCATTTGATGTACAGATTAGAGATCTGCATGGACAAGATTTTTTGCCCGTATCCATAACCCTACTGAGGATGCTTGTCCGTGCCTATCCGTGAGTTTTTTTCTCTGTCCGTACTTGTCCGCGCCTGTTCGTGAATTTTTTTCGCATATGAATAGTCCGTATATGAAAAAATTTTCTCGTCCACGCGTGTATATTATGTTGTCCTTTCTGTAGCATGTCTGTAACTGTCTATATTTCATTCACAAAAAATTCAAATCTTCGTATCATTTTGTTGCTCAAAAAATTTAAAATATCTTTTTGAGAAGCCCGTGCTCGCCGAAGGGAAGCAGTTACCCGTCTATGCCTGTCCGTGTCTTTTTCGAGCCTGCCCGTGACCGTTCATGCCCGCGGGCCGTACGGACACGCCCGCGGTCGCGGAATTTCTCGTACTCGTGCGGATCTCTGGTATAGATGCTATATTAAGCGGTTGAGGCACATCTAAACTTAAGAAATACCTTCAAACAAAGCAGTAAACAGAAGCATCGTTATAGCGAGCGTTAGGAGTCGACAATTATGTAAGGGGATTTGCCTACTACAAGATTGCATGATTTACAGAAAAAGCAAAAGTTCGCTTTTTGTACTTATTTCGTAAGGTGGATCCAATAGAAACTCAAACAAAATCACACATAGGAAAAAGTCACAAATAAATTAAATAAAAAAGAATTACATTGAGCGCAGTCTCAAAACACACTGGGAATTTGTTAAAAGGACTTTTCTTTCGCTGAATTACTCCATTGTTGTTCATTCATTCACTCGAGTTCCAAGTGATATATAATAGAAACAAGATGTGCCCAAAATATATCATGTATTCTCTATAACAGTTCTCATTAATCTGAGAAGGAAATTAAGGGCAAGTACATGAAGAAACGCCCATAGTGACGAACTTATTGACGTCTTTGAGAAGAATCAGATAAAGTCTGTTTGTTTAGATGACTTTAAATGATAAATACCAAGTGTAAGAGAAAGTCTTGAAGGAGCACGATATGATGGCTTCAATAAAGCTTTTGTTCGGCCTAAACAACTCAGGTTCATATAAAAAAGAATTTTTTCTTTTCTTTTTCGGTGAAACTAGCTAAAATATTCGCATTGGATCGTTTGGCAATGCGTGTGCTACATAATGATTTACCGGTAAATTAGTATCATGTGTGATTTCGTTTGGCCAAATCGTGGGCTGTACTAATTGATTATTTAAGTCAAAAGTACTATTTGGTTTACATATGATTGTTCCTGGCGTACGAATTAACTGTTCTATAAATTGTCCAACGGGATCTGTAGTCGGTATCAATAGTGACGGATTTGCATAATAGGCATCAAGGGGAAGACTATTATTGAAATCAAAATGATGATGTCTTCTTCTTCTTCGTCTTGATGTATTTTTTAATCGCTTCCGATGACGTATTGCTGTGTAATGTTCATCGTCTGGTGATGATTCATTGGTTGATGAATTAGAGTTATAATAAGGTATTTCATGTATATGTCTTTCACCCATTTGTGGATTACGTTGACTATATTCTCCTGTACCGAATGTTAGTTGTTGTCGCACGGGTTCATAGATAAAACGATTTGCGCGATAATGATGTCCCCAACGATCCTTTTCTACAGCTTCATTGACTTTCATGGCTACTGACGACGAAATCTCCGGGGCCACGTGAACGTTTTCAATAGGATATTCTAACTCAAGACGAGAAACATTGTCATCCTCGTCGTCTCCTCTAAACGCAGATGGACCAGTTTGATGTTGGTTTTGTTGTCCCCCTCCACCGCCAAATAGATGTTGCATGGCAGAATTTCCGGTAGATGGACCAGGTTGATTTTGGTTTGGTTGTCCTCCTCCACCACCAAATAGACGTTGCATAGCAGAACCTCCTGCAGATGGACCAGCTTGGTTTTGGTTTGATTGTCCTCCTCCACCACCAAATAGATTTTGCATGGCAGAAATTCCGGTAGATGGACCAGTTTGATTTTGGTTTGGTTGTCCTCCTCCACCACCAAATAGACGTTGCATAGCAGAACCTCCTGCAGGTGGACCAGTTTGATTTTGGTTTGATTGTCCTCCTCCACCACCAAATAGATTTTGCATGGCAGAACCTCCTGCAGGTGGACCAGGTTGATATTGGTTTGGTTGTCCTCCTCCACCGCCAAACAGATTTTGCATGGCAGAACCTCCTGCAGGTGGACCAGGTTGATATTGGTTTGGTTGTCCTCCTCCACCGCCAAACAGATTTTGCATGGCAGAAACTCCTGCAGGTGGCCCAGGTTGATATTGGTTTG